TAGCTGGCTGAGGAATTCTGGGAATTGAAGTCCACACATCTTAAAGTTCCCAAGCTTGAAAAACACTGCTCTGGACCATCTCAAAGCATCTAAACAACTGAAGATTGATAAGCTGCTATTGGCAAAGGAGCATGTGAGAATCCAAGTAAAATAAGTGATTCAAATGCTTGGAAGTCTGATAGCAGGCTAAGGGTGTTACAAGAAGGTTCTCCTTCCCATCCTGACTGACATGATGGTTTGTACTCTCTTCTCTATGTAAACCAAGGAAATTTTGCGGATGATGACTTGTGGTGCAATAACACCCCTCCTCCAGGCTGTATGTCCTCAAAGGAGCAAACTGCAGAGCTAAATGAAATAGTTCAGAAGAGACAAAATGACTACATAAGAATTTTGTTAAAGACTTAGTTGCTAAACCATGCCTTTTGACTGCTGAAATGTGATACCAATATTTGAGCAGGTGGCAGTCTTCAGCAAGAAAGCGGACGAGCTGAAAGGTATACTTAATAACTTGGGCAAGTCCCGTAGTGAAGATTTGAATTCTCCCCCAAAAGATTAAAAATCCTCAGCTATTAACTGTGTGAAACAGGCATCACAAATCTCTTTGGGTTAGTCAGAAGTAAAGTTTATTGGAAGTGTTTGCAAAGGCTGGTGGACTTCGTTGCAAATAAGAAACGACACCCACATACAAACTCCGGCATAATTATATACATTCCCGATTGCAAGTCCTTCCCCTTTCCCCCATTGGCTAAGGTACTCTGGGTGTACAGTCTTTCCGGCCGCTTTAGGATTTCTTCCTGGTCCGTCCCACCTCATCTATGGTAATTGCTCAAGGTTTCAGCTAATTGCAGTATACTGATAAAGATTGCTCCAAATTAATTTGTATTTACATTGTCCCACACAAGGAGAAAACCTCCTCTCCATCTGCCACTATTTGATAACCATAACACTTAGCACTACTTCCTTATCTCTCACACAGCTGCACTCTTAGCATGCTCAAGTTACTATTTCTTTGTCAATAATAACAGATATTTTATCCATCTCTCACATTAACAAACAAAGTTTGTCTGATCACCACGAGTAGAAGTCAACACGCTCCTGAAGAAAATGGGGAATTTTTATCTCTCTCAATCAAATCAAATAGTATCAAATATTGTCTGTAACACGGTCAACCGGGAGATGCATTGTAGAATATACTCTTAAGTATATTCTTAAGTATATCCATATCTTAGAATATACTATTAAGGAAATGCAGTGGTTGCCCAGCTGGGAAGACAAAAACAGGGTCCTGCAAATATTTGAAAACACAACAATTCCATCCACGTTGCAGAAAATGAGTGCCTTTCTGGCACCTTTCGATATCTGCCCCACACGTGTATTTAAAGAGGGAAATATTAAGTCATCACTCCAAGTTAAAAGTATCAACGTTGAACACTAGCTGCAATCGCTCGCCACAACCACATCTATGACCTGGGTGACAATGCCCAGCCAGTCACTCCAGCAACCAAAAGGGGCCTTGTTTTAGGTACCTTTGAACGTAATCTGCTTAATTCTTTCTTTCTTAAGCCATTTGATCTCCGTGACAAGCTGGGGAAAGAGAATTGAGGTCCCCCCGCTGCTAGAAAAGGAGCAGAAAAGAAGTTGGAGATCAACTGGGTGAGCCAGAGGTGCAAGCGTGTGCTTTCAGCTCTCCTTACTGGCCAAAATCTTGCCCCATTTTGCAGTAACTGTATAATGTATCCCAGCGGCTCTCCAGTGTTTGGGGTTCAGGGCCCCTTTGCATTCTTAAAAATGACTGAGGACCTCAAAGAGCTTTAGATTGTGTGGGTTATATCTACCAATATTTACAGCATTAAAAATTAAAACTGAGAAATGTTAAAATATCTGACTTCACGGAAAGGGTCTCAGGGACCCCCAGGGGTCCCCAGACCCCACAATGGAGAACCACTGATCTAGCCCAACAGTCTCAGAGTGATGGGAGTTCTAGCAGGGGTGTCCCAGGGAAGGTCAACCAAGTCAAGATGGCAGCCAGGGTTGTGCGATCAAAGCCCCGCCTCTTACATACATGTAAATAAGGGCGGGGCTCCCATTCCCCAGTCATGGCGTTTGTTGCCCCCCCCATAGGATGCTCTTGAATTGCAGCATCTCCCCACTTCTGGGGAGCAGTGCCTTTGAAAGAGGGGGCTGCGAGAATCAAAGGGAGAAGGGGTTGTCTAGCAACGGGGAGGCCCCTCCCCTTTTTGTGGGGGAGGAGGGAAGGAGGGAATGTGGGCGGAGCTGTGGGGAAGGAGGGGCTGAAAGTGAGTTTAAGAGGCAGCTCAGGTTTGGGGGAGTTAGGCCTGCAAGGTCTAAGGACTGGATGCCCGGCCTTTGGCCGGGCAGCAGCTCTAAACAAACCTAGTTTGCTTTGCCCACCCAAACTCAGTACAGGTAAGGTTACCTGGGCCCGCCAGCATGTTTGCAAGAGAGAAAAAGCCCTTGGTGACCTGAACGGGAGCTACAAGGTCACGCGCTTTCAGGGCCTGCAATCAATTTCCCCATTCCTTCAACTGCAACGCACCTGTTTTGGGGCGGCTTTTTGTGTGAGAGGCAAATAGGGCCACTGCTCTGGAAATGATTACGGGGGTCAGGTTTAGAGGCTGAGGAGAGTCTCATTGGGCGTGGGTTATTTTGATTTAATCTGGCTGTAGATTACAGTGGGTATGCATTTCATGGCTTTCCTGTAATTTTAGCTGTTGGAAGTTTTTCATCTGTAATTTTGATGGTGCTTGGACTGTGTCCGGGGGTGGGGGTGCATTATAAATACGATTTTTGTTTCTTTGTACTGAGATCCTTCTCTTTTTGCATGGGTGTTTAATAATAGTAGTGATCTAATATAATAATAATAATAACAACAACAACTGCCTATCCCAGGGGAATAGGACTGCCTATCCCATGGGAAGGACTCGATAGGTGGATAAAAATGCCAAATGCAGTCTAAACATCTGGCTGACTGTGCGACCAACCATAATAATAATAATAA